GCCTTAAGACTTGCTCATCGGGTGGCATCCTCTTGGAGCCTGAAGTGGGTCAGACCCTCAAGTACCCACCACACTAGGCAGCAAGGGTCAGTACCAGAGCCCTCAGTTTGCCCAGGGCCCTTCGGAAAAGCCCTGGCTGTTACACTATATATCAACATGGAGGGGAGCCAGTCAGGGATAGGGGTCTGTACCTGCCATTTTTTCTCTGTGATCTGAGTTGCTGTTCTCTGTGGGGCAGTGGTGGGAATGGCTCCACTCTCTGTAGTTAGGCATGTGTGGACCGTCTGAGCTGCTGCTGCTCCTGCTCTGTCGTTTCTTATTTCATAAAAACATATTTTTCTTTCTTTTTTTTTTTTCTTTCTTTTTTTTTTTTTTTGTTTTTTTTTTGTTTTTTTTTTGAGACAGGGGTTTCTCTGTACCTTTTAGAGGCTGTCCTGGAGCTCACTCTGTAGACCAGGCTGGTCTCGAACAGATCCTCTGCCTCCCAAGTGCTGGGATTAAAGGCCTGCACCACCAATGCCAGGCCTTTTTTTTTTTTTTTTTTGAGCTAGGGTTTCACACTGTAGCTCCAGGCGGCCTGGAACTCACTATGTAACTCAGACTACCTTTGAATTCATCTTCCCAAGTGCTGAGATTACAGGCATGAAGTGTAGGGCTTGCTGGAACTCGGGTCAGCATGCTAGTGACAGACACAGTGCTCGCCCCCAGGTGTTCTGTCGATGTCATCATGCACTGCAGCTTTGGAGGCTGCTGTCAGGTGGAAGAATCGGCCAGGCATGGTGTTTGCCAACTGTAATCTCAACACTGGGGAGGATCATGAATTCAAGGGCAGTCTGAGCTACACACACAGACTCTCAGGAGGAGTCCAGGGACTTGTGTCCGCTGGCTGTATTGGCTTCTGGTGATGTCTCTAGCACCTCACACCACCACCTCACTGTGCCTCATTCCTGTCCGCGCCTCACCTTGCGCTGCTCTTCACTGGATAGGCAGCATAGTAGGCCTGGCTTTCCTGGTAGGATACATGGGTTTCCAGTCTATCCAAGGAGAGGTGCTGTACAGCCCCGCAGGTGCTCACCCCTCCCTGCTGGTTGCCTCCCCTCTCCCCCTGCAGGGAGCGAGAAAGACGGGAGAAGGAGAGAGAAGAGTGGGAACGCCAGTACAGCCGCCAGAGCCGCTCACCCTCCCCACGCTACAGTGAGTGCCTCCCCAGTCCCTACAGTGCCCAGGGCAAGAGAGCCAGGCTGCTTCTCAGAACCATGAGGAAAAGAAATGCCTGTGGTGGTCCTTCACCTGATTTCCAGCACTCAGAGGGGAGAGGGCAAGGGACCAGGGTTACATGGAGAAAAGCTGCTTTAATTAATATAGGGAGAAAACCCTTGTGACCTGCTAGTCAGGAGAGGGGTAGGAGAGTCACTGCCAAATTCAGGGTCAGCCTGGACTGTAAATGAGACACACAGACACACACTGCCTCCAAAAACAAAAAACAGACACACACAAAAAAACACTGTGGAGTGAATCTTAGGCAGGAGGTCCCTTGTTTTGGGGTTTGGGAGCAGTCTAGATCACACAGGGGTCTATCTTATTATTTAAAAAAGTACTAGACAGAATGGTAAAAACCAGCCAGGTTGTGGTATACGCCCTGGGGAGAAACAGGAGGATCTGTCTCTCTGAGTTTGAGGTCTACCTGGTCACCATAGCCAGTTTCAGCAAAGGCTGCATAGGGTGAGGCACAGGTCCCAAGAGGCCAAGATGGCCCAGCGGAGGCTGGCTGACTTCACACTCCTTCTCTTTTCAGGTCGAGAGTACAGTTCTTCTCGAAGGTAAGGCTGCTGGCCCAGCTACCAGGGGTGGCCCGTAGTCCCCTGGAAGTCTTGTGTCCTTCTTCCCCTGAACTGCACCCCCATTTGCTCCTGGTGAAGACACTCCTCCCTTAGCAGCCCATTCTCTAGGCCAGCTGGTGGGTGTGTGATGGCAGGGAGGTTCCCAGCACCCCACCCTCACAGCTGTCTCTCTTCTCTGCAGGCGCTCGAGGTCCAGGTCCCGAAGCCCCCATTACAGGCATTAGGCGGACTGCGTGGGACTGCAGCGCTCTGGGTTTCTGTAGTGAAATAAAAGCAAACATTATTTAATACCCTTTACTGCCTGCTGTCCTCTGACAAGTGTAGGATTCCAGGCTCGATGCAGCCGAGGATCTCCACTGGAGCAGGATAGCCTGCAGGGTGTGGTGTGGGGCCTGTCTAGGAGGCAGGGGCCAATCCAGTCGAGGGCCCGGACTGTGGCATGTGTGGACAGGGCCAGAGGATGACGGGCCAGGACTGGGCTGCCCCCAGGGGCCTCTGGTGACAGGTCCAGGCCTCTCCCTGCCCTTGCCCGGCCCCTGGCCTCACCCACACCAAGAACCGGGAGCACGGCTTTCTGTGCCAGTCCTCCGGTGCCCAGGGCACTCACCCCCACTCCAAACCGGTCTGTCCAGCCAGCCACACTATGGAGGGGGAACCTCCCACCCCAGACATCCAAGAAAGCCAGAGTCCAGGCACATGAGTAAATGAAAGATGGTTTATTTATTCACACAAGGGGAAGGAAGGTTAGGGGGTGACAGAACTATGCTGAGACCATCTCTGGGTGTTTCTGCCACAGGTGTTTGTCCAGTGTGGCCTGTAGGCCAAACGGCACAAAGCAACGTGGGCACTTAAATCTGGTGCTGCCAGGACCCGCACCATGCATGCGCTGGTGTCGCTT